ATAACATATATTTAATTCTTTAAGTTTTCTGTTAAACAAACCTGACCTGCTGAGAAGATGTTAGCTCGTTTTTCTGTCAATTTTCGTTTGGTGCAATATAAATACTTGCAAAAAGCAAAAAGTAGGCTGAAAAATAGTTCCCATTACCCACAAAATTCTACGTAAGTACAGTAAAGAAGTATTTGTACTTAGTTACTTTAAAAGTCTGAGCATGAAGAGCTTTGAAAGCGAGGGGGGAGAAGGCCTTTTGGGGCCGCCTCAGTGAATAAATAAATAAATGGTGGGCAGCTGGGTGCTGAGAGCTGCAGGGTGGGTTTATTGACAGAAGGTGGAGGAAAGGTGGAGAGAAGAGTTGGGAAGTGACAGAAACGCAACAAGCTGAAGAATGACGACCAAGAATAAAATTTAAAGAAGTGAAGCAAGTCGTTTCACCTTTTTTTTTACGAAACGTGTCGTGTTGGAGTTTGACAGGAATGGGCGTGAGGTTCTGTAAATAAACACGGGTCGGTTCTGACAGACAGAAGCCTCGAGGCATTTCTAAAACACGTCGCTCCGACACTAATCAGGACGGACATCACCGGACTGTAAAACAAAACCAGAGCAGRGAACGTGACCGGGTGCAGGCCGCTTCACGTCTCCAGACCACCCGCCCCCTCCTCCTGCCAGCTGTGAGTCCTCCACATCATCACGTGACGCTAACGCTAAGCTAAACATCAGGTCAGGGTCCGGATAAGAAGACGGAGCCAGGACCCGAGGAAGAGCCGCAGCTCCCGCTTCACTTCCTGGAAACACTGAGGGCTTTTTTTTTTAAAGAATAAAGATAAAAATACAGCTTTCTAAAGCTGGAGATGTTTTGACTGCTGCGAGGCCCTGGGAATCTTTCATTTTTGGAGTACGGTAGCTGTTTCGTTTCCTGCATCCCTGGGACACTTCCTTTTCACACAACAATGAAAAACCTCAAATTTCAACATTTTTAGGAGCAACAATCCTCCGTTCCCGGACGGTCTGCCACTCACTCAGTCACATGGAGGGTGAGGGTCCCAGAGCCGCTGGCTCGGTGTGTCATTACAGCTCCAGGACCAGAACCTTCCACCGGTTCCTGTCACATGAAGAGTTCAACAATAGTTTTAAAGTCCCTGAGACATCCAATCTTTGTAATTAACGATTTTTGGAAAGAAAACAATCACAAATTACAAAAAACATTTTATGCAGCTGAGACGAGTGGTTGATGAGATATTCTCACATGAAGTAACAGGAAGTGACATCAAAGGGGAACGTCTGCATGTGAACAGAGTGTTGCTGTAATAACTAACAACACAGACTGTAGAGAAGAATCGGATGTTTCTTTAGATTATTTGGAGTCTATCAGAGAGAGGAAAAGTTAGAGTTTAAATAATATTGTTTAAATAAATAAAGACCAGAGATCCCCTTTGATGTCACTTCTTGTTTCCCTTTGAGCCAAGTTCAAATTAAAATATGTTAGTTATGTGACAAAATGGATACAATCATGAGTATTATGTGAAGAGAGCTGTATGGTGTTAGCCCTAGAGCTAGTAAATATAGCATTAGCTCACAAGCTAATGTACATATAGAGATATATAGAGTTAGCTTACAAGCTAATGTATATATAGCAATGTATGGTGCTAGCTCACAAGCTAACGTATATATGAAGATATATGGTGTTAGCTTACAAGCTAATGTATATATAGC